TTTTTGCGGAACCGGGGATCAAACTCATGCCCTTGCACTTGCCAGGGAAGTGCTTATTCCACTGAGCCATCTCACGGACCAACATTAAGTTTTTAAAATATTATTTTACCATTTTGAAAAAAAATTGGACTTAAAAATTGAACAAATAAAATTTCATGTTGCCCCCATGGCAACAATACAATTACTAAAACCAGGTCACTGCCCAAGTAATTTGGTTGACTGTCTACTCTGACTTGCCCTTGGATTGGTGCTTATAGCTGGCCATCTCTGTTGATTTTCATAAATTGGCTCACAAGTATTTTGCTTTATTTGAAAGGACAAATGAGAAAAATGCCTTTTGTATGACTTAACACCTTTGCAAATGCTTAAGCCTTTATGTTGATAGTTGAAGATGATGCCATTATTCAAGTGAAGGTGATTCTAAAACATTTCCAAAATTTGCCGAATATAGTAATAAAATGAAATAGATATAACAGACTTGGCATTTATATTAATTTTTTTAACAGCTAGACATGGTGACTCACACTTGTAAACTTGTACTTTGGGAGACTGAGGCAGAAGGATCTCAGGTTCAAGCCTAATTGGGGCAACTTAGTGACTAAGTGAGGTACTTCTCAAAAGGGCTGGGGAGGTAGCTTAGCACTGAGGTCCAGGGCCTACTCTGCACATACCCCCCCAAAAAAAAGTCTTTTCCAGATAATTTTTTTGCCTCTTAATTATTTTAGCTTAAGGTAATAAGGCTTTAATAATATAAATGGCAATAATAGAATTGCCTTATTAAAGAACTGCTTCTGCATTGCATGTTAATTGACATTTGTTTTGTTTAAAACCACTGTAATCAGAAAATACTGTCTCTGAACTTCTCAGTATCATCACTTAGCTATGAAAATACTTTAAAAACAATGTTTCCTATTAACAAAATGTTGCACATATTTGCTTGGTGCAGAACAGCTGATTTGTCAGACTTATAGAGACTGGATATTCTCTGACAGTCTTTAATAGGTAAAGTTACTATTTGTTATAAATGTTTTCTCCGTGGACCTGGTAGTGGCTGAGGAACCTAGTCCACAACAGAATTATTTTGGGTGTATTTCAGTTACTTGGATATATAATAAATGGTGCAGATCATTAAATCCCTGCAGCTTGTTCTATTCTTGAGCGAAGTTTTTAATCTTCTGTCTTCTTGAAGTTTCTAAATCTGTGAAATGTATTTTTTTTCTTTGTCTAAGGCAATACCTAATAATTCTTTTAAGGTTTTTTTTTTTCCTTTTTCTTGGTCTTGAAAAAATTACATCTGCTTTGTCTTTCTGTTTAGGAAATGTTTATAGTTAGACTTGCTTAAAAAATTTAGTCTGTATTAAGGTGGTGGGAATTTTAAGTCATGAAATCATGATTAACACTTAAAAATTTAGGTTTGCTTAAAGATGTTATTGTTTTATGAAGCAAGTGAGGGAAAAATCTTATTTTTGCATTTTATAATCCCACATTTTTGGTTTTCTTTTTCTGTGTTGTTCAGGCTGACCTTGAATTCACTGTGTAGCTCAGGCTGGCCTGGAACTCATAGTGATTCTTCAGCCTTAGCCTCCCATGTGCTAGAATTATAGGCTTGTGTCACCCTGCCAAACTTTAGAATTTAATACTTAAAAATATACATTAGGCCAGATAGATAGTTTGGCAGTCTCTAAGCGCCTGCCTGGCAAGTGCAAGGACCCCAGTTTGATCCCCGATACTGCATGCATTGCCAGCCTTGAAACCCCAAGGTGTGCTGAGCTGACCATGGAAACCAGGCATGGGGGTGCATGCACATAATCCCAGCGCTGGGGAGGCTGTGTAGTGAGACCCTGTACAGAATTTAAATAAATAAATAAATTTAAATATATATTTAAAAAACAGGCTTTTTGTTGCTTATTGAGCAAGTTTGGGCTACAGGAAATGGTAAAAGTAGTTTCAATTATTTTTTGCGTGGGAACACTTTTCCTGTAAAAATTTGAAAGCTTGCATGGATAATATTTTTAATCATTTTTCACTTTCCCCAAGATTATACTTTAGTATTATTTTGAACAGAGCTTATGTTGGCCTTTGTCATTTTTAGCAGTTTTATTTCCTATCTTCCCAAATGAGAGCCTTGTCCAGCCAGTGTGAAGCACAGCCATAGGGACCTGGCTGCAGGGTTGTTTGCTGAGATCCTTTTTTGTGTGGAAAGAACGGTTATTACCAGGGAAGGTTTTCCTTTTGTTTTACTTGCTATCCAGATGCTGCTCAGACTCTCGCTCTCGCACAGGATCACAGTATGGATATTCCAAGTCAAGACCAACCGAAGGTAAAATCACCACATGGTGACTTCTTTTGTTGTACAGAGTGGCCCCTTCTCTGTACCTGTGGATCTTGAACTCCCAAGGCCTTTCCTTTGGTGTGGTAAGAATTTTGAAAGAAAAGTTCTTGGGAGTTCACAGACCAGGGACAGAGTGCACTTCTCTGTTCTGCCCATAACAGAGTTCCAGTCTCTGAATCTTTTTTTGGGATGTAGCACTTCTGTTCTTCAGTTCTGCCAGTTGCATTTTCTTTGGGTTTATGTGTGCCTCTGTGCAAATGTGTGCATATGTGTGAGAGAGAGCAGTCTTGTGTCTGTGTAGGTATTCATAAACTGCTTTACGTATTATTAGATTTTAGTAGGCTTGTTTCAGGTAAGCTTGTGTCAGGCCACTTCCTAAACTTTCCTCAAATCTGGGGAAATTTTATGATCGTCATGGTAAATGTTAGAGGTTTCACATGTTTTTTGCATTTTGCATAATTTTGTAGTAGGCTGTATAGGCTTTGTACAAATAGCCTGTTTTTAAGATTTTGACCTTTGTGCAGAAAGTTTCTCCTTCCCCGTAAGTGTGGGTTTCTCCTATCTGTGCTCATAGTGGGTTGAGAGGTGTTGTGTTGCTTTATTTGATGACTGTTGTAAACTCCAGAGTTCTCTTTCTTGTGCTTAACCCATTGTGTTGCACATTAACTGGTGAGCCAGAGTGGAACTGCTACATCCCCTGGTCTCAGTCATTTCTGTTGCACTGATGGACACCTTTTCCTTCTTTCAGCAAAGTGCACAGGAAATTTCCAGTCCCAGAAAAAGAACTGAAGAAGGTGATGTTCGCACACTGCCTACCTCACAACATAAACACAAAAATTCTAGAGGAGGTAAGTTTTGGATTAAGGGTATGTAGCCTTCTTTTTCTTCTTTTTTCCCTCTCTCCCTTCCTCCCTTCCTTCTTTGGGTTGATTATTTTTAGAAATGGTGTTTTTCCATGTTAAGTATTAGCTGTAATGAAGACCATTTTAGGAACTTACAAAGAAAACAAACAAACAAAAAAAAAAAATGCTTTTTGCATCTGCACACTTCTTGCATGTATCACACTTCTTGTTCTTTTCTGAAAACCTTTTTTCAGCCTAGTCGCCTTTTTTAATTTGAAGATGTAGGGTTCTCCTAGTCCACGATACTAGGGAAGTTGCACGATCTTTCTATTAACTAGTATGCATAGTTTAAAATAGCTACAGATTTACCAGTGTATCACTTGGTAAATCTTCTGTATACATGGATTCAGCTGCCTTGGTTATTTTAATCTAAGTATACTGCTATATATTTGACATGGTTAGAATGTTTATCTTGGTTTCTGTTTACCTTTTGAGGTAGAGGTTAATTTTTATGGATTTTTGAAGTTTGCAAAAATGACAAAATATACTTGGTATTATAGAGCCAAGAATAAGGTAGAGTAAACCTAGTACTTCTTTGACATTAGCTGATAGTAAGTGGATTTTTACCATCCTGTTAGGTGTGGTGTATTGAAGCTAAAAATTATCTTCTAGAACAGTGCTTTTTTCAGATGTATAAAATCATAAACTTCCCAGAAATTCTCAAGTGTTTCTAATCTAAGTACCTGTCCGCTACTTGGATCAAAGGCAGGTTAGGCCTCTGACTTATTTCCCAGAAAGTTATGCTACTGACGTTTTTTTTTTTTTAATTTACATTGAATCAGTTTGTCATGCTGGATTGTTTCCTACAGAGTACATTTGAACAAAAGTTGAATTTTGGACTTTCTATTCATTTTGAAACTAATTACAGTCTGTATGTATGAAATTAAATATGTAATTGTGTTTATTTGAATGCAGGTCTTTGATTTTTTTTTTCCATCAAAAAGAGTAATGTATATGAATAGACTGTAAATATAAGACCAGTCATTTCAAATAACTGTAGTGTTTAATGGTAATTTGAGAATCAGTTTTTTAGAATTTTCATGAAGGTCTATAGGTAGGACAAAATTTTTATGTGGAAAAATGACCTACTTACATTCCATTCAAAATAAATTACAGAGCTTGTGTATTTGAGCATAACTTTAACATGTGTCCATCTCCAGCATTTGGCTTTTGATTATTTTAGTTTTAAGTGAATGAAACAGTAGTTGGAGTTTCCCTAGACACAAATGCACTTGTAGTAAGTAGGAACAATATAATTTGTTAGTAGATGGGGTACTTAGGGTGGGGCAGGGACCATAACCTAGGATTATAGAAATCAGGCCAGCCAGATAGCTCAGCAGATTAAAGCGCCTGCTTAGGCAGACGCAGGGGCTGAGGTCTTGATCCCTGGCTTGCTGTGCTGGTCCATTCCCGGGGGTGCGCTGATACTACAACTGAGACTGGGCATGTGGTGCGCACCTGTAATCCCAGTGCTTGGGAGGCTGAAAACAGGAAGGATCATTACAAGTCCAGTCTGTGTAGTGAGACCCTGTAGACCCTGTACTAAACACATTTAAAAAAATTACAGAAATCTTTTTTATCATATGTACCTCAGCATATTTAAATCCCTGTGATTGTCGTTCACAGGCCTAGGACATTGAGAAAAGGTAGAAGAAAATGAGATGGTAGGAAAAGCATAAAATACAACAAAAAAACCCCTGGAAGATGAGAAGCAAAAAAAGATTTTGAGTGGTAGCTACAGATTGTGTTAGTAATTACCTAGGATGTGTTTACATGTATACTAAAAGTTCTTTTGCTTGAAATACATTGGCAGGAGGCTTAATATTTGTGATAGTTCTAGAAACTTTACTCTTAGAGACCCCATTTATCCAGGAAGGGTGTGTGTGTGTGTGTGTGTGTGTGTGTGTGTGTGTTTGGACAGCTTAGAGTTTATTTATAATGATTATTACCTATGAAGAACTAAGTTATTGAGAAGTGTCCCCACACGGTGTATCAGTTAGAATGTCTTGATAATCTTGTGATTGTCTATTAGGTTGTATACCTTGCTTTGATCTTAAGAATGCATGCTACTGTGCTATTTCTATTTATAGTCCAGTGGATCAAGCTGTTAGCTAGTATCATACAGTCATATAGAGGTAGGAATAGTTACTGGGCTGGGGATGTTGCTCAGTGGTAGAGCACATGCTTAACATGTACAAGGCCCTGAATCCAATCCCCAGTGAGGATGTACCCCTCTCTCTCTCTCTCTCTCTCTCTCTCTCTCTCTCTCTCTCTCTCTCTCTCTGTCACACACACACACACTCTCTCTGTCTCTCTCTCTCTCTCTCACACACACACACACGGAAGGAGGGAGAGACAGAGTGAGCAAGAACGAGAGAGTGCACGCATGCCAGTTATTGACCATGTAGGAATCTTTATGGAACAATGCCATTCATTGCTCAGATGGTATTAGTTTAGTTTCTTTGATAAATGAATATCTACTTCTGGTGTCATTATTTACTAAGGAAGTCTAAATAGGAAAATATTGGGGCTCTGTCACTGAGATGCTTGATTTCTGGTTCATTTTTATTGAGAGTGGGAATTTTTATTTTTACCTGTTTTATAAAGAGTTTGTAAATATTAGTTGTTCTTGAAGGAGATCTTTGGCTTTCAAATGTTGTATATATAGTTATTCTTTTCATTTAACTTCTATAGATGAAGACTTGATAGAAAATTTAACCCAAGGTGAGACTTCTAGGCTGGACCTTGGGTTTGAGGAGTGGGATGTAGCTGGCCTGCCTTGGTGGTTTCTAGGAAACTTGAGAAACAACTATACACCTAGAAGTAATGGCTCAACTGATTTACAGACACATCAGGTAAATGTCACATTTGAAGGGGGACTTTTTTGGTTGCTCTTGATACATGTTGTGTTCTCTAAGAATTCATTTTCACTGCTTTGTCTTTAAATACTATCTGTATACATTGGAGGCCCAGATCTAGATCTCTGTGTCCTGACTGCTCCCCCATATACCAGTTTCATAGCACCTTCACTTTTAGGGGATTTGACATTTAATATGAACTCTTTTTGTCACACACTACTTGTCTAGTCTTTCCTGTTTTTTCAGCGGGGTGGGGGGTGGCACAACCAGGACTTTGTGCTTGCCAGGCAGGCACTTACTCTGCTGAGCTATCTCCCCAGCTCTAGTCTTCCTTTTTTTTGTAAATCTACTGTCTGCATAATTATTCCAGCCAAACACAAAGAAGCGGTGATTTCTTTCTCAACCATAGGTCACTTTCGGGTTATCAGATTTTTATCCAAAATTGATTACTTCAGCTACTTCTACTGTCATAACCTTATTCAAGCCATCCTTTTTCATACAGGTATTGCAGCAGCCTTACCCAGTGTTTCTGTTTTTAATTCTTGTTCATCTTGAATCTTTTCAAAGAGTGAAAATTATTTTCTGTCATTGGTTTATCTTTTTAAGACAGGGTCTTACTGTGTGATTCATGCTGGCCTGTAACTGTGTATCCCAGACTGGCCTGGAACTTGAGGAGGTCCCTTCTATCTTAGCCTCTCAAGTCTGGGGGTTACCCATATGTGCGACTATGCCTGGCAGATCTTTTAAATGGATAATCAGTGCCATATTTCTTATTCTTCAGTGGGTTCAGAAAGCAAGTACATTAAAATCTAGACTCCTTACCATAGCCATTGTGGAACTGGGCCCAGCCTGCTGCCTTGCCTCCTGTCATTACTCATTGCATGCCTTCTAGACACTCCAGGCATATTTCTGACCCTATAGCCCAAAATTCTTCTCACCCTCAGGCAACTTAAATTTGTTTTTTCTTCTTTCTGGAACATTCTTCCCCCTAATCGTTTCATTTTCTTCTGTGATTTAGGGCTTGGCTCAGATGTGCTCTCCTTGGAGAGGCTTTCCCTGACTGCTGCTGCACATTCCAGTGGGGTCCACCCCACTGGTGTTTGTATCTGTGCAGTTTCAAGTGATAGCCTTGGCAAAATCCATCCCTAATGAAAACATCCCTTTCCAGCCACTCTGCTCCTTTATCTTAATCTTTATTCTCTGCTGCACTTTTCATTTGTAAAAATATTATCAACGCTTTGTATATGCATTTGTTGTTCATTTAATCTAACTGAAACTTAAGGCCAGGACTTTTGCATTATTTACCACTCTATTCCCTTACCTAGTACCTAGTACCTAGTACCTAGAACAGTTTCTGGCACGTAATGGGTATTTAGTAATATTTGTTGAATAAATGAATGGGGATATAACAATAGCCAAATGATAAAGTGTTTTATGAATGTTGTAGGATTGCATGTCGTAAGTGTTCTTAGATAAATACACAAAGTAAGTTTTTATGTATTTTAAATTGTTTAAACCTTAAGTTGTTGAGACTAAAGATTTAGGTTACCATTAGCATTTCTTAAGCAAGCAGTCATTGACCATTAAAAGAAAGACTATGTCAGAGGTAATGGGATGTTTTCTGGATTTTTAAAAGGCCCCCTGTAGAAAGGAGTATCAAGAATGAATTTTGTTTCCTTAATCTTTTAAAAATAGTAATATTTCTGAATTACTATTATAATAGAAAATTTCCTAGCATGTACAACCTCGGGTTCAATTCCCCATACTGAAAGAAAGAAAAGAAAAGAAAGAATAAATTCCTAGTAGTTAGGTGCCAACTAGAGATCTGTTGAGGGAAGCTGAAATGTTATTTGGAGATGTAATGTGAAGACCATAGGTTTGGAATCTTTTGTGTTGGTTCAGCATCTCTGATAAGTTGCTAACTATAGAGGCTCATGTTTGTTTTTCTCTATTAGGATATAGGTACTGCCATTGTTTCAGATACTACAGATGATTTGTGGTTTTTAAATGAGTCAGTATCAGAGCAGTTAGGTGTTGGAATAAAAGTTGAAGCTGCTGATACTGAACAAGCAAGTGAAGAAGTAGGGAAAGTGAGTGACAAAAAGGTACGTTTTAGAAAATTTCATGTTCATTGTATTTGTGTTCATAGCGTAATCTCTTCTGGTGTCTCTCTGTATAAGAAGTTACATAATCTTCCCTTTTAGTTTTTAATCCTACATTATATCCAGTTTTAAGTTTTACATTAAATTCATCAGGGCTGCCTTAGAAGTAAGATAGAGTTTCACAGTGAAGCTCCTCCTTGCTCAGAAGCTACAAGCCCTTCTTTTCCTCACTGTTTGCCCAGTCTTCTATTGTGAAGTTTTTTTTTTTCTCTTTAATGTCTTGCTTTGCTAAAAAAGCAAGGTTCTGGGCTGGAGAGATGGCTCAGTGGTCTAAAGCACCTACTTGAAACAAGCTTGGCAAAGCACAGGGACCACGGTTCGATCCCCAGCACCACATGCCAGCCAGCCTCGCCCCCTGGTGGGCTGAGCTGGCCACACACACACACACAATAAATAAATGTAATAAATAAAAATAAATATTAAAAAAAAGGTAAAAATTAAACTTTAAAAAAAAAAAAAAAGCAAGGTTCTGAATTCTCCCAAAATTTTTTATAGCTAAATGGAAAGATAGATGATTTATTTCTACCTATTCTAGAGTTGGGGAGAAAAGAGGAAAATTAGAATATTCAATATGATGTGGTATGAACACACCAAAATGAAGTCATAATAGGCTGTACGTTTGAGTCTTAAAAGAGATTGGGCAAAAGACCTAGCCTGTGCCTAGCATGTAGATTTTCAGTAAACATCCATTGAATAAATACTGGTGGAGGGGGAGCATTCTAGAGTTGGGTTGTCTTATTCATCCATTCATTTATGAGATTTACATAAGGAATTTGGGTTGTTTACTGTATAGCTTGAGTTCTCTTGGAAGGAAGGAAGGAATGCTGGCAGAATAAAGACAAAAACGATATTTCAGAACTTAGATAAAGAGGTAGGGATTAAAATACTCTTGTAAAAAAGTTGTTGAACGGTCTGGGGATTTGGCTCAGCGGTAGAATGCTTGCCTAGCAAGCTGGAAGCCCTGGGTTCGGTCCTTGGCACCAAAAACAAACAAACAAAAAAAATTGTTAAAGGTTCAATATTGTTTCTGAGTCATTTTTATTTCATTTATTGGCCTGCAAAACAAGAGTCTTATGTGTTAGAATTATAAATTCTAGATATTTCTTGACTTTTTTGTTTCCTGGACTGTGTAGAGGATTTTAGAAAACAGCCAGAGTAATAACTAGTTTTATTCTTGAACCTGAAAAATTTTTAAATGCTTTTTCATTTTTCATGGTCTACTGGATTCCCAAGATGAAAAATTTCTCAGTAGTAACTTGTAGCATTTCTATGCTGATATTTATTTTCTTTAAAGTTTGGTATTTTTTCCCTTCTGAAGGTTGAGGATACTTAGTAACCCTCCTGGATGCTTTTCAGTCACTTGTGCCACTGAAATGTCAGCTAAATGTCTACAGAATCATGTTTTTGGTCTCACATTTAAGCTATCCTATTTTAAATGTTAGCTGTGGAGGCAGAATGTGCATTTTACACTGAAGCTGTTTTGTCTTTTTGCTTTCAGATAATAGTGGCCTCAACTAAAATGATAAACTTTAGTAATGAGATGTCTTTGCCTTCACAGATGATTGAAGCGGGGAAAAATGATGACCTTGAGGATTCCAAGTCCTTAAGTGATGATACTGATGTTGAAGTTACCTCTGAGGTATGAACATCCAGTCAAGGCCTTTTTGTACTGGTCATATCTTTAGGTGATGTAATCCCAGTAGTTCAGTTTTGTTGAGGAATGTCATTTTTTCCTGTTTCTATTTTTCCTAGCTGCTAGGAGGTACTGAATTCTATACATTGTTGGAATTTGAAAAGAGAAAAGGATAATTTGGTCTTATTTTATCCCTTCTCTCTTGGAAAGATGACCTCAGTGGCTCCACACCCCTGTCATTAAAACTCTAGTTTTGGGCCTTCGGGAAGATGGCTCAGTAGAATAAGCGCTTCCCTGGCAAGCACAAAGGCCTGAGTTCAATCCCTGGTTCCGCAAAAAACAAAACAAAACAAAACAAAAACCCCTCTATTTTTGATACACTGGACATACACAGCATTATTTAGAGACCTCCTTAACTTTTCCCCACTAAGGGGTGACCAAATAGCTCAGTGGATTAAAGTGCCTATAAGCAAGTGCAGGGGAGGGGGTTCAATCCCTGGGCCTGCAGTGCTGGCCCTGTTCCCCGGGGCACAGTGAGACAGCAATTGAGACTGGGCATGGTGGTGCACACCTATAATCCCAGCGCTTGGGAGGGTGTAAACAGGTGGATCATTGAGTCCAAATCTAGTAGTGAGACCCTGAACACCCTGTAGACTCTTCCCTAAAATACAAAGTACAAAATAATAATTTTTCTGCACTAAACACCTCTCTGTAGTCCCAAGGACAGATTTGTAGGCTATCTAAGATTCTTTGAGGAGTTCAGTACAAAAATAGTTTTGTTAATATTTTCTTACAAAGAAGCAAAGAAAGACAACTTAATTGACAGATTACTGTGAAGGAAGATTTGGCATTAAACTCTTAGGTTATAGGAATGATTTATTACAGATTGACAATGTAAGTCCAAGCCCAAGTGTATACTTTGCTTTTCCTATCATCCCAGCTCTTGGGAGGCTGTAAACAGCCAAAAGTGTATACTTTTGCTTATTTTATATTGTTTTCCTGTTTCTCTTTTAACATTGTAGTTTTTATAACTGACTCTTTGAGAGAAGGGTAGTTGGCCATGGATAATAAGGAGACTGTATTTTGCTGCTTCAGAATAGAAACACTTTTAGCTTGTCCTGGTGTTGATCCTCTCTGTTCCCTCTGTATTGCTGTTGACCACCTTATAATTCATTGCAGATTATCTGCCTATGCATGGCTAAGTAATAAAATGTAATATATTGGTCCAGTAAGTGTTCTTGGCCATAAAACAAATAGCAGAGATAACTGTTTCCCTTTAATCAGACTTATGTGGCAGCTTGGGCCCAGAAAACCTATTAAACAAATAGCCTGTATTTCACTGAATCAAAGATGTGATTGAATTTAATAAGCCCTATTATTTTATGTACTATTAAGAAAAAGTGTTGCCAATTAAACGGCACCATGCCATCAGTTACAAATTCCAACTCTTCATGAAGTTCCTTTGAGTATAGCATTTCCTATGAGATCAGAGGATCATAAATTGGTGAGAGTGTTTTGTGACTCTCTGGGGAAGATCTTAGTTTAACAAATGGTTTTGTATTCCTGCCTCTCAGTCTAGAGTGACAGTTGAGTTATGATTTCTAAACTTGAAGTGCTTGATCTTTATCCTGAAAGAAATGAAGTTAGCTATGTCAAATCATTGATCCTGTCAAAGGCAGGCAATTACCCACATTAAATACACATGACTTGTTCCAGGTTGCTCCCTTTGAATTAAGTAAGGCTTTTAAAATGTACTGAGTTCCAGTGTCTTCTAATTTGAATCTTTGAGAAGTACGGGTACAGGAGAAGGACTTTCATTTTTCAGAATGTATATTTAGGCATACAGTTGAGCAGTAAGAAGACATTTGTAAAATCAAGTAGTTTTCAAGTCTCATTTTAGTTTTAGTTTCCTCTTTGCCAAGTTTTATTATTTGTTAATTGGTAGAAAAAACCAGTTATCTTCATTTGTTACTCTCATGCTGTATAAAGGCACATAATACATAGAAAAGTGCCCTACAGTCAACAAGGGAAACAGTAGGGATTTCACCTAAACTGGATGGAAAGCCAAAATAATTTAGCTTTCTCCCCTTCTCTATACTAGAGATTAAATGCACAGCCTTTGTGTTGAGATAACATTCTTTTTTTTTTTTTTTTTTTTGCTCCGAATGCCTTCAGGGCAGGTTTGGCTGGCTTGAGTTGTGGGGCTCGAACCACAGCAACCTGCGCCTGACTGCTTTGTCGAAGCAGCCACTTAAAAGAACTGAGCTAAGGGGCAGGCCCCCTGAGATAACATTCTTAACCTTCTTTTAATATTTTTATTTTGAGGCAAGGTCTTGCCAAGTTGCTCAGGCTGGACTTGAGCTTGCAATCACCTTGCCTCAGTCTCCCAGAAGGCTGGGATTAAGCAATGTGCCACCATGTCTGGCTAGGTTAATTTTGTTTCTTTCTTTTTTTGATTTTGTTTTTGTTTTAACTTAGACTTTCTTCAAATACTGTGGAATTTCTTCATACTAGGCTGGACCACTGGTATGGAATGTCTGCCCTTTTGATAGTTCAGTGTTGTGATAATTTGGCCTTTCATCTCAATGTTGTGGTCACTGCTGAGTGTTAATTAGCTACATTTGTCTTCCTAGGATGAATGGCAGTGTACAGAGTGTAAGAAATTTAATTCTCCAAGCAAGAGGTACTGTTTTCGTTGCTGGGCCTTGAGAAAGGATTGGTATTCTGATTGTTCTAAGTTAACACATTCTCTCTCCACATCTGATATCACTGCCATACCTGAAAAGACGGAAAATGAAGGAATTGATGTCCCTGATTGCCGAAGAACCGTTTCGGCTCCTGTTGTTAGACCTAAAGATGTACCTGTCAAGGAAGACAATTCCAAACTGTTTAATCCCTGCAGCTCAGTGGAATTTTTGGATTTGGCTCACAGTTCTGAAAGCCCAGAGACCATCTCAAGCATGGGAGAACAATCAGATAGCATTTTTGAACAGAAAGTGGATACAGAAAATATGGAGGATTGCCAGAGTATCTTGAAGCCTTGTAGCTTATGTGAAAGAAGACCACGAGATGGAAACATTATTCATGGGAGGACAAGCCATCTTACCACTTGTTTTCACTGTGCTAGAAGACTAAAGAAGGCTGGAGCCTCATGTCCTATTTGCCAGAAGGAGATTCAGTTAGTTATTAAGGTTTTTATAGCATAGTTGAATCGATTGGGAAATACTAGAGGACCAGGTTATATCTTCAAACTTCAGAATTGAGCCTGTCTGCCAAGTATGGCCCATTCCCTGTGTTTGTTTATTCATGTAAACATCTGTGTTCTGGTCACTTTTGGTTGTGAACTTAGGGAATTTGAGAGTGGGTAGTTTAGGTCATCAGTTTGGAGACTTCATTAACAGAAAGATAAAAATACATAAGCTACTTCATTCTCCCTCCAAAGATGAAGGTCTGAGAGGGAACAACCATGGATGTGAACCTAAAAGTATATTTATTCATTAACTTAGCAGTTTATCTGAAGACTAATCCCTTCTTTAGTGTTTGGTTTTTTGTTTTTTGTTTTTTTTTTTTGGTACTGAGATTTGAACCCAGGGTTTCACGCTTGCCAGGCAGGCACTGTACCCCTGAGCTATATCCCTGGCCCTAATTCTGTTTCTTACTGTCCTATTAATGTAATGCTCTGGCATCAAAATCCTAAATACTAGAAAAATACTAGGGCTAACACTGAAAAAGCAAATTATCTGACTCATCAGATTCAAAGGTGCTGTGAATCACTTCATGTTGTAGAAAAGCTGCTTAGTTCTTCTAGGCCGAAAGTGAGAAGTTTGGGGGAGTTTTGGTTTCATTTGCATTTTGGGTGCTGGGGATAAACCCCTGGATTTGAGCATGTGCTTTGCTACTAAGCTGCATTCTTTATTGTTACCACGAAAGCTAGGCTCTCACTGTGTTAGCTGGCTGCCTCGAACTGCAGTTCTGTGTAGCTGGGACTACAGATTTCTGTCATTGTGTCCAGTTCAAGAAAAAAAAAAGCTGAAATACAAGCAATTTCTTCTCATATATATTAGTCAGTGGTGAAAAACAATTTTGTAACATACCTTTGAAATAATTTTAGAAATCATAGCTTTTATTTATTTTTATTGGTTAGCTTTGTATGTATTTCGCTTCTGGAAACATCATGGTAAGTTAATCAGTGCTATATATCTACACATGTCAGACCAGTCTCTTTGCCTTTATTTATTTTTTTTTTTTTTTGAGACAGGGTCTTGCTGTGTAGTTTAGGGTGACCTTGAACTCACTATGTAGCACAGATGGCCTCCAGCTTGCTGCAGTACGCCTGCCGCAGCCTCGCAAGTGCTGGGACTACAGCCTCGCATCACCGTGCCCAGCTATTTAGATCATTCTTATCATTTGTTTTGCTTCTGCTGTCTATTCCAGCAGTAATGCCCCCCTGCCTTTGATGGTTGAGCACTGACACTTGACCCTGCCACCTCAGATCCAATTAAACCCATCACATTAAATTTCCCAATTGAGTAATTATAACCCTGAGAAAGTGTATATAACCTTTTGTACATTGAAAAAAAAATCTAGGTATATATAGTTAACATAGAATGAGAAATATGAATAACATTCCAAATTATAGAATGTTCCTGTCTCCCCAAAATATCTCCTATACCTCTTTTCAAGCAGTCCTTTGTTCCATGCCTCTCATCCTAGATTAATTTCCTTTTGCACATCTTTGATATTTAAATTTTAAAAATTGGGAGTACTTACAAAAGATATGCCATCCAAAATTATGCATATATGTGTCTTGATCAAACTGGGCATAGTGACACCTGCCTGTAATTGCAGCACTCCAGAAGGCTGAGACAGTAGGGTCACAAGTTGAAGTCCAGCCTGGGGCAACTTAATACCACAACTTAAAGAAAGAAAAAAGAAAAGGCTGGGGATATAGTTCAGTGTGAAGGTCTAGATTCAATACGTAGTACCTCAGGAAAAAAAAAAAAAAGTCTTGTACCTTCTAGGTTTAGGTGAAAGCCAGTCATACAAACTGGCAGTCTGTTCATTTCAAAATTAATCAGCCAAATCAGTCTAAACTTCTAGTCAGAACTCTATGTCTCAGTATATATATGAGCACATAGCAAGGCCTTCTCAGTTACCACTTCTAAAGAGCACAATTTCTAACCAAACCCTGCTGGTTTATCCTGAATGTCTCTTAGGAGGCCTCCAGGTATGTTTTGGTCTCAGCCTCTGGAGTTCACTCTCTGAGACAGTGGCCTACAGTAAGATTCAAATGAGTCATGGATTATAGCATTTGTGGCAAAGGAAGTAATTGAGAGAAATGAATCTTAATTCTCTTCAGTCATCTTAAGCCATATCAGTTTTAGGAAAATACAGACATTAGAGATCTTCAAGTTGGTTTTTTTTATTGCCATTTATGTCTGCTTAACCTATGAAAACATTGTGCTGTATCCCAGGGATATAGATTATTGAAGACAAAACTTTTCTGAAAGAAAAGTCTTCTTAAAATTTCTTGATTTTTTTTTTTTTTTTTTTTTAAAGACTGACATAGTACAGGCTAGTCTTGAACTCACATAGTCCAGGCTGGCCTTAAACTTACAGTGATCCTCTTGTCTCAGCCTCTCAAGCCCTGAGATGATGAGTGTGTACCACCACACCAGCAAATGTTCTGAATTTTAAAACTATAAAGCACTCAATTGCTTAGTTCCTCTTTGCACATGAAGCCACAGCAAGTGTATTAACTAGTAGATCATTAATCTTTTAAAAATACTTGTTTCTCCTACCCACTTTTTTCTTTTTCTTTTTTTGAGTGGTGTGGGGATTGTTTTTTTTTTTCCTAAGCCATATTCCCAACCCTTTTTAAATTTTTTGAGACAGGGTCTCACTGGGTTGGCCAGGCTGAGTTCAATCTTTCAGTCTTGCCTCACCCTCCCAGAGTGCTGAGATCACAGGTGTGTACCAGTTTATTTATTAAACATTTTAAGTGGAGGGGCTTGTTGAACATGAAACAGCTAAGAAGCTGAAAATATAGATCTTTAATAATTGCTCCTCTTTAATTGCTAAAGGCTGATCTGTAGCCAAAATAAAACTTTAGAGAGAACAGTGATTTTTAAGAGTTTTAAAAGAGAAATACTCTACAGATGTCAGGTTTAGCTTATCAGAACATTACCTGTCCCATTGTGAGAACAAGGAAAGGTAACAGAAGAAAGACCTGAACTTTTCGCTCTGGTTAATGAAGCTCACACCTGGCTCTTTAGGCATTTAAGGATGAGTGTTTTCCTCCTTGTGAGCAAAACTGTTTCTTTGAGTTAAATTGTGAGAACAATGGATGGCTTAAAACTATAGAAAGTTTTTCTGCCTCCTCCCCTCAGCACTGTCATAATAGCTGTCAGTTGTTTGACTTGTTAGGCACCTTTATAAGTGATAAAACTGGAGGGCTGAGATATTTTGGGAACTGCAGGTATGCCTGTAATCCCCTCCTTTAAACTTGTGGGTTTTTAAATATAAGAATTACACATTTATGTTTGTAGATACATGTTGATAATATTGGTACATCTTTGTCTGGCACAAGCTCCCTGAAGGCCGCTCAGCTTTCCTCCTTTTCCTGCTCGTTCACTTTAATTTTCGTTTTCCTTCTTAGCACCAAGTACTTTGCTTACAAGATGCAAGTGTAACCAACTTGCATTGTTTTGTTTTATGCTGCTGGGGACATGTTTGAGCCAAACCTTATTTGCAGGAAACTTCTAACCATTTTTTAGTCTTCACTCTCCCACCTCCCAATGGGATCCCTTGGCTCCATTTTGAGATTGATCTGTAGCACAATGTACAGTGTGCTACATTGCCTTGCTAAGGTGATGAACTGTTCTGGCTGCACTTAACACTTGTCCTCCTGCCTCAGCCTTTCTGGGATTATAGTCATGTGTCACTATAACCACATGGTTTTGTTAGGTTTTTTTTTTGAGTGTTACTTTATTTTTTGATTTATTATTACTATTTTTTTTGAGAAAGGGTCTCATTACGTAGCTTAGGCTGAACTTGGATCACTGTGTAGCAGTGATCCTCTTGCCTCAGCCTCCTAAGTGCTTGGATTACAGGGGTGTGTGGCCATGCCTGACTTTATTTTTGAGATATTTTTATTGTCTGCCACTAAAGCAAGTCGCACTTCGTATGTCAAATTTTAAAAAAGTTTACTTCTGTAGCATAAACTCCCATTATCTTTCAGTTTTAATTGTGGGAACATAATGCTGATTTTCCAGTCAGTACCTGTTTGCCTGTTTTTCAGCATCCTACTCAGCTTGTCACCGTCTCCTTTCACTTTCAGATGTCTTCGTTTGGACATTAAATTGTATGGCCACCCTCATGTAATGGCCATGCTTCAGTTGAAATCTTGATTGTGAGGACAGAGCTTTTAAAATAGGTGTTAGCGTTCAGCACTTTCTGCTGCATCATGCCGTAGACGAATAACAAAGCCACGCCACATTGGTGTTACAGTTCTTATTTTAGATGTCATTTAGATTAATATTTATGATCCTGTTATTTTGGACAAAAGTTCAGAGCAGAGGTAATCATTAGAAAAGTGTTACCTAGATTACAGCAAAAAGACTTGCCTCACACTGTTGTGAACTCATTCTCCTTACAGTGTGCTTACAGGTGATTGTATGCTTTTGTATTTAGTGCTTACATCAGACTCAAAAACTGTAGCTGAAGCCTTTAACCTGGTATCACCATTTTCCCAAAGTCTGTCTAGGGACAGCCTGAGTTTCCAGTTGCAGGCTTCAGCAGTGCATGGGCCCCAGTCAGGCCAGCCTCCCATCTGCTGCGAGCTTGTATCATGTAAACTGTATTACTGCCGAACACCTGAAATAATGATGTCGTGTTTTAGTTATAATTTATTATACTTAGAGATATGTAATACTTTGTAGAATATTATTTGGGTTGAATTATATATAAAGGCCACAAAAATTTAAGTTTTATGTGTGCTTATTTGTGCAACATTGGCTTTGAAAAGGCATTTGTGAGAAATTGGACTGTTCCTGGGTTCTTCAAAACTATTGTAATGTTACTTCTGTTCCTTTAGAAAGGAAATTTATTAAGCAGCTATTTGGTATTTTTAAAAATTATTTTTCTAGAGTTATGTAATGTGAACTTTTAAAAGTACATAGCATTAGATACTGTGAATCTGTTTCCATTTAGTACATTATGTGCTTAAATTGTTGAGACCCATAGTCTAGGGAATAGTTCATTTCGCTGGTCCTTTGTTTGTGAGCATGCGTGTTTGCACACACAGGGTCAAGTCTAAGATGCCTTTGCTAACAATGGTTATACACTAGGAGCTAGCTGTGTTTGTAATCTGCACTTCAAAGATACAGGAACTACCAGTTCTCCCCTGTGCCAAAACTAAAATGTACAGTGTTTACTAATGTCAGGAAATTCTCACTGCCATAGGGAGTGGTTATTTTGCTGAGATTTCTCAGATTTATGAGTAGACAGAGCTGCAGCTTCACAAAGGAGGAAAAATATTTGGGACCCTAAGGCTGAACAAAATGATTATCTGAGTGGTTAAAGTAGCTTTGTAGTTTGAAGGCAGTGTTTTTCTGATTGGTTTGAGATGTTTTTTCTCTTGGCCTGTTTCCCCTTTTTATCTACCCTGGCTGTACCTGTGTTACTCCTTTTCAGAAGTCACTATATGTCCAGTCCTGTAGAAGGTTGCATAAACATTTTGAGGTTGGTTCATATAATGCAGTCCAGGGAGTGCCATTACTAGTGAAGGTGGAATTGTTCAGCTGTTACACTAAACCTACAGTTGTGTTTGTTGAGCTTCATCAGTAGTTTTTTGAATGACTGAAAATGTTAGAGAAAGTGGAAGGTGTCTAGGAGGTGGCTAGAATTTTTTGGTAGTCTGCTGAGATCCACTTGCAGGTGGTTATACCTGTATGTAGGGTCTTTGTATAATGCCTTTGGGAGTGCAGCATGGCTGGTAGGACCCCCACCCCCACCCCATTTCTTAAAGTAAGAGAGCAAGGTTAAAGATACCTTAAAAGTGACAGGTAGCACAGTCAGAGCAGTTGCTTTCTTAAACAGTTGATGTGACTTGGCAAATGCTTCAATGAAAATTAACATTGCCATAATCAGAGCATTTGATTTCTTATCCAAAGGTGTTACTGTATTTAAAAACCAGTAAGTGCTTTGATGTCAACTGATATTTCTCCTTCTTCCTTTACTTTTCCTTTTAGGTCTTCTTTAGTTCAAAGTCATCTGTTTCTGAGTTTTTTTGTTTTAGT